TCGCGCACAAAATTTAAAAGTTGTAATCATATTTTGAGTTAATAGATGGAAACTTTGTCGGGTTTTTAATTACTGTACAAAATTTCAGACAATTTGATTTAGTTTAAGCCCTTTAACTATCCACGCAAAGTTACATTTTTCCTAAAAATCAGCTTTTCGCATGCTTAATTAATGCATTTGCCTAATTTGCATATGTCAGCAATATGCAAATTAGGTAAAGGCATTAATTAAGCATGCGAAAAGCTGATTTTTTAGAATAAAATAAATAGTTAAAGGGCTTAAACTAAACCAAATTGTCTGAAATTTTGTACAGTAATTAAAAACCCGACAAAGTTTCCATCTATAAACTCAAAATATGATTACATCTTTTAACTTTTGTGCGCGAGGCATTTTTAGTTTGTTGGAAAAGACACACCCCCCTGGTTCACAAAATTTGAGTTTGAGAAATTTTTTTCATTATTCTACATTGTAAGTACCCAAAGAAGCTATATATATAAAAAACCGGATGCAAATAGGTGTTTTGCGAAATTGAGAGCAATTTCAAATCTGTTCAGTTTTTTTTGATACACCCTGTATAGTGATGCAAAATATTTTCTTAGAGAAAAACGTCATTTTCATGGTCTTTTTGGCTCTTAAAGTAAGCGGAAGAGACGTTAAACAAAAACAATGCAAATCAGTTTTCGTTTGTTTCTTGTCACAAAAATGACTTGTCGAACGTCACTTCCGGTAGCTTCAAGAGCCATAAAGACAATGAAAATTAAGTTTAATTTTTCTCTTAAAAAACAGATTGCATTTCGTCTTAAAATTACTCAATATCACAAAAAATATATCCTAATCGCTGTATGCATGTGCACTTCAGGGCCTCAGATTGTGAATAATGTTAGTCTATGAGTATTAAAGATTGGCAAAGTCAAAAATTCTCGATAAATACGAAATGTTGATTGTTTCGTTTCTGTTTCATGTTTACTTATTTCGTTAAACTTTCTATCCCTACGCCCGGTGCAAGGGCATAACCTTGGATCTAAACGTTGAGGGGGAGGGTGGGGAGTTAGTCATTTCATTAGTTATGTCATTTCATGCACTCTGAAGGAATATATATTTTATAGAATTCTGATGGTCAGAAAACGACGTATAAGATATTAGTAAATCGTTAAAATTGCCCAATACAAAAATGGTCTTTTTTTAGTCTTAGTAAAATGTGTATATGGAACTCTGAAAATGTTGCATGAGACCAAGAAACAAAGGACTGTTGACAAAACAAAAATTCTTTCTGGATCTGATAAGCTAATGTGAAGAGAACAAAACTACATATTTGTGGATGATTGATTTTGAACTCAATGCCTTGCATGGTTATATATTTCTTTCTTTCATCGTTTTGCAGCTTATGAAGACTCATTCCTCCTGCAGCAGAACTTTCGCAAATTATGTATTAAAACCGACAACACGTTTGTCCTGGCAGGCGCTACATGTAGTTACAATAACTGGGATTACCGGTGGATCTGGACTAACTTTGGACAACTCTTAAACTGGAAGACCTTGGAATGTATGACAGATGGACGAAGTAATAACAAATATCTTGTGACAATGAAGAAATGTAACAGAAATAATCAGAGACAATTATGGAAATGTGTAGGTGAGAGGATCAAGCAGACACAGTCAGGCAGATACATGTACATGTACAAGTACTACGGAGAACATTACGGACATGTTAGAACAAGAAAATATTGGCGTTATGCATCAAAATGGACGCATTTTGGTTCCAAAAAAGATGTCTGTTCACAAGGTAGTCAGATTCTGAAACTTTTCATCAAAAAATACATTAATAAAATTCCTCTTCATGAGATAAGCTAACAGCAGTTTTTCTAGTGCAATGTCTAGCTCAACTTACATACAGTCTCAACGTTAAGAGATTAGCAGAACTATAACAAAGGGCCTTCACTCGAAACATCGAAGTTTTACTTGTATTTTTCAAAAACTAAAGTTGAATCTCTAAATATCCATCTCAAAATACACTTAGTGATTGAATTTATGATTGGAACAACTGGAACCTTTATTCCAGCTAAATTTACTGGAGGCTTTAGCAATAAAAGGAGGCTTTATTCCGGTCTCATTTCCCGCCTAAAATATAGGTCCATCAAATTATAGAACCCTTGTCTTCGTTTATCTGAACCACGAGAGTTAAGGTAACTCATAGTGCAACACTTTAATTCCCTTGCAAACTTTCACCGACTATCGAGTTTTATAAAAACAACTTGACAAAAAATTCCACGTACCTTGACACGCTATTTCTTCTTCTTAGCTGTAGGATGCGATACATTCGTAGATGGTTCACATCTCCTCATCCTTGATAAAACAAAATGTGAAGAACAGTCGGAATGTTTGGGAGAGAAAAAAATCAAATTGAGCAACACGAAATGTTTCCTCTTACCAAATAAAACTCAATATTTACACAATGATACATGGAAAGCATTGGAAATACAGAATGACAGTTTCGAAATTACAGTGGACAAAGAATCCCTCCCAAATCCCGTTTGTTATTTACAGTGGGATTTGAGTAAAACTCCAGAAAGCTGGGGAGGACTAATGGTTAAGGTACTATTCGAGTGTGAGGATTCAAGTGCTGCAACAATTCGTAAAACTGAACACTGCGTCGTAATTAAATACACCGGAACTTTTAAAGGTAAGCATCATTCTACAAAATTTTCCATATGAAAGTATGTAGTCTGCTCACGACTATATTGAATAGCATTATCGGCAGTTCTGTCTAAATAGGTGTTCTCTTACGATCGTCCAATGATTACTAGAGGGGCAAACTGGACTATATGGAAAAACATATGCTATCTGGAAAATAAAAACAATAAAAAACATATATAGTACCAGGTATTGAAAACATATGGTAACAAAATGAAAACATATGGTATCTGGTATTGTATCAAACTGAAACGATTCCCTACCCTATAATCGAGGTGATATTATTTAATCACTTAACAGCATATTGCAGCAATGAACCCCAGGTTATACATGTGAAACTGCCTTGTACAAAACATATAGCTCCGTTTTAGATAGCTCCCTTCTGAGGGAATATAGACGTAATTACTTTGAATATAATGTACCTAATCCAACAGGTTTCCACGATGATGGTGACGATGACGACGATGGTGATGATAATGATAATGATGGTGACGACAATGATGGTGATAATAATGATGGTAATGGTGGTGATAAAACTAACAAAGACAAAACAGATGCAGATCAAAAGAACAATGGTGGTGATAAAGACAACACTCAAACTATAATTATAATTGTCTGTGTGTTGGTCGTCCTGCTTTTATCTGGTCTCGTAGTGTTCGTTATATACAAATATAGAAACAGGTAAGCTATCTGACCAGTTGCATATAGTTCTGCATGGTCATAGTATTAGTTTTGTACATTCATCCTTTCTAGGAAACTTTCTTACACACCACACCATACCAGTATACCACACTACACAAATACACTGTTACACTGAGATTGTCGATTTTCCCAATAGTAAAAAAATATTGGACAAGTAAACCATGCCTGAGCCAATGGAAAATCAACCCAATTAGCGTTAATAAAATTCCAAAGCTGCAGATTTAGTAGAAACTATATTTCAAACTTTTTGTTCTTCGTAAGGCTTGTCTGCTATGGTAGAAGGAACACCGAAAGACAAGGTATAGTTTTTCATTCGTTTCTATCAAGTTTTTAAAAATTCTCATTGTTTGCAAGATACGTTGTTTAACTAGCCATAAAACTTTGACGGACAACTTTTAAGTGAAATGTTTGGATCACTTGTTGAAATGGTTTAAATGCGCATGCAATGTACCGATATGTACTCCACCAATATTTAATGTCATCCATTTTTACAACCACAGATGCGGCACCCAAACAAGAATATGCAGACGCTATGAACCCACTCTATCCAGCAAATAACAACTATTCGGGGCAAAGAGAATGTGAACTTTACGAATCAACTCCCGACCATGTCTACCAGTACGTGGACACTGACCACAAAACCACGGTTCCACCACCTCAAAATCTTACGTATGACTACGCTGTCGTTGATGGTCCATTGACCAAAGGTGAGCGATCGAGTGTGGAACTTGATGCTACAGGTGGGAAAGGTACACCTTTGCATGGATGATGGACTTAGACTTGATAAAGAGGAGCAGATTGAGAAAAGAAGGATATAATTCAATACAGTATCAAAACGCCACTAGACATACTTATACTATGTTCTTGAAGAACCATAAATATTTATTACAAAGAGTAAAGGCTGTTTTAACCTCAGAACTTTTGAAGTTCTCTGATGTCCCATAATTCTTAATCCTTAATCCATAGCATAACACGGACAGTGCATTCATTCATTCACAATTGCTGCAACTTATAACAAATTAAACTAATTTCAACGGTTATTAACCGAGAATTTTCACTACATAATTTCACCAATTGTTAGAAATATTTCTTTCCCTTTAACTCAATTTATTTGCACGTTATATTTTAAATAATTATTTTCACGTATTTTAGTTGTGCGTTATAATTTACTGATGGAAACAGCTTTGTAAATATTTTGTAAGAACATTTTGGAAGAAATGAATGTTTAATCCATGTTTGTAAACAGGATAAAGATTCGTCCTGATTTACATAAACTTCAGCTTTGATTTTCTCGGCTTAGACAATGTTTATTTTTAAATTTACTTCGCCATGCAATGAACTCATAAGATGGGTCGCATCCGATCTGTATCTGATAATATACAAACTCTCGCCTTCGGCTCGAGTTTGCATGTATATCAGATACAGATCGGCTGCTCATGTTTTATCTAGTATACATTGGGCTACATGTTATAGATTCTCCTATTAAAAGCGTCTGTATAGTTTTGCGATATTTTGACCAAAATCGGTATATATATATTCTTGGTATCACGGGGTTGCCTATGGCTATGGGGAGCAAACATTCAGCATCGCGGCAAACACCCAGTTTTGTAAAATGTTTTAACCGCGTGTATTCGTATCGAGCTTTCCTCATTATGTTTATAGTAAGGCTTGTGAAATAACTCACGTGTGATGGCATCTTTACTTCAATGATACAAACCAGGTGATCTTGATACGCGGAAAAGTACTGGCACTAGTTGTCAAATAGAAATCCATTTTATGATTAAAACAACTGAATATCTCCTGTAATATACTTTACTTCAATTCCATATTTTTGTCAGAGCTATAGTTCTCATAACCAAACATAATTACAAAATTTCAACTAGTTTCATAAAGAATAACAAAAGATATAATTGACTGAATGCATCAAAATGGATTTCTATTCGGATAACCCTTTCTGAGTGCTGATTGGCTAAAATACAAACACGAGATCACCTGGAAGACAATAGTTTTGTAATTGATTCCCATAGGTGGAGAAAATGCGATTTTTGACCAGCAATTTTTAATCCGATCATATTTGGCTAAACTTTGTTTGCAAGTGTACAAAAAAGGTATCATTTGACAGCTAATACCGCATCTTTATGGTGACGCATCAGAACATGCTATAAATGTTGGATTACATTTTTGACACCCGCTGTATTGATGTATTTGTTAAAGGAGGTTGGCAGTAAAAATTCAGTTTGTGCTATTTTAAAATAACCAATCGAAACTAACCAAAAACTTGCTCTTGGTTGCAATTTTAAATTTCGAATTGAATAGAAGCATTTTAAACAACTTTTGATCTTTACTCGGTCACTTAGAGGAAATGTTATAAGGCTATCCTCATGCTTGACGTCATCAAAACCATAGTCAATGAGGTTAAGAATCAATCCAAGATGGCGGAAAGCTCATTGCCTTCAGTCAAAAATTAGACATGAGAACTCTGCAACAAAACTTAATACATAATTTTCAACGTTCTTTTAAATGAGACGAACTAAATTTGTGCTAAAGTGCCATTATTAACCCCAACTATAATTTTTAATTGCGTAATGTTCGGACAGGGCCGTCGCGAATAGACTAGACAGGGGGGTGTAGTATCGCATTTGCCGACAACATCTCAGTCGCTAATTAATATTTCTTTTCTCAATTTTCCGGACATACCATTTTTCACTAACTTTCGTCTCTATGTACCATAATTTGTTAAATTTTTCGGCAATGTTTTCGTAAATTTATCATAATTTTTGCTACAACTACAGGAGTTTCAGAATGATTTGAAGTAGGCGGTTGTACCAAAAAAGTAGCCGGCTGTGACTGATAGTTAAAAAATCTTGCGTGGAGGGGGGGTACCCTCGCATGGAAATTTAAAAAATTTTCGCCACAAATTAACAATCAAATAATATAGAATAAGTAAAAAGACAAAGTACAACTGTTAGCATGTTAGATTTAGATGTCATTTGCATTTTACTTGTAAGTGACAATGTACTTTAATGTGCTACTAGTAGTTTAATTTTTAGAGCTGCATGAACAGAATGACAATGTACACTACAGTAATAGTATTAATTTATGAGTCCGAAATCATTAATCAAATGATGTTATACTTATGTACGTAATGAACTTCACTTCATCCCTTCTTTCTTTTGCTATGTTTGGTACTGGTAATTTATCTTATTGATCTTCCGAAATAAGTGATGTTTTGCTTGAATTCAGGGCTTGAATTTTATGGCACTTATACCGTAGAGGGAGAACAAAATTTTTTGCCGTATTGTATAATTTTTAAACTGTTCACTGTGCATTACTATTTTGATACTTGAATTCAGATGTTGATCAAATCATCCGTAAATTACTATTTTAGTCTCAGTTTTCTTCGAAAAAAAACCACTAAAGAAATACGTAAACATGTTTCTAGCTTGTCAGCAATCCAAAGTAACAATAAAATTAAATTTTTATTGCAGTAATTTGAAAAAATGCCGTGGAAATTGACAAAATTGCCGTAGACAGCTGTTAACATTCTACGGCAATTTTTAACGCCATTGCCGTCGATTGATTTCAGGGAAATTTGAGGCCAACTTGAATTCCAATTGTACCTTTGTATATAAAATTTTTCCTGTGACCAGACGAAAAGTAGCCGGCGGTAAAAGTTCAACTCCGCCGGCTTAATCTGAAACCCCTGCAACTATTACTTTTTAATTAATCCGAGCCATTCAAATATCTTCGCTGACCACGAAAACAATTTGCCGATAAATCCGTTATTTTTCCGAAAAGATGTTTTCAGGGGTGTCAACCACCCCCCTCCCCCTCCCTATAGCGACGGCCTTGTGTTCGGATCATTTTAACGAGAAGAAGTATACTATATATCTTTGTTGGAAAACGAATTTTCATTATCAATTAGGTTGCCGGTTACGATATCATAAGAAGTTTAGAACGATTTTTGTTGCAACTGAGAACAAAGGCGAACAATGAACGCAAATTGTATACCAACTATAATACTATTTTTAAAAAAACTGCGGTTGCCATAGAGTATTTTAAAACACAAACCAATAGACACTCCGAAAACTGTCAAAATTTTCATTCTTTACGTTTCGACTATAATATAAGTATGGACGAAATGTAAATTATAGTCGAAAGGTGAAGAATGAAAATGTTCACAAAATGTTCGGAGTGCCTATTGTTTTGTGTTTTATTATATATAATATAATACTATTACGAATAATAAGATGACAGGATGTGTACAAAATGTGTACAAAATGTCTTTGTAACTATACTCTCATCGCTCTTTCAAATCGGACATTATTTACGTTGCCGCTTCCTTCAATAAAACCAAATATTCTCGACATCTTTGAGGAGTGTAAATGTTTTGCTTCCGCTTGTTAACAAAGAATTGCGCATGTTTCTAAGAGTTCTTCATTATTACCAAATATAAATCATGTGATAACATTGCACGACATAAATATTAAACCTTGTTTAAACTAAAAGTATTAAGATATCCACAATGCCTATGTCAATGTCAGAAGCGACTATTTACTTCATTCTGGTGATATCGACATTCTACCAAGTGAATAGCCAGAATATAAGTATAATAAGGGGAAAAAAGGATCTATTTACGAATCTAGCTGGCTGTGAACCTACAAAAGCTGTGTGTTTCGACGAGAACTGCACATATTGTCAATGTGAAAGGGACAAGGAAACTTTCATTCCAACAAGAGGCAAAGATGGGGAATGTGTACCAAATGAATACTTGGCTTATGTGACATGTAAGTGACATGGTAGGCTACGAACATATAGGTAGACTAGTAGTCATGAAATACTTTTTTTCAACATCAATATACAACTTGCATGTTAGAGTAATTTTTGATCTAGGCAAAAAAAGTAAATTCCCGTAAAGAATTATTTTAAATTAGTAAAATTGCAAAACCCAGTTACGAAATATATCCTTGCGAAGTTCGCCTATTTTGTATAGCTATATGTTTGTATTACATGTCTGGAAATTGTTGCCATTTTTGAGCCGAAAATGGTAACAATTTCCGCACGTAATATACAAACGTATACAAAATTTGGAAACTTTGCAAGGCTATATATTTTCCAAGCTTTACAACATTTCGCAAACAAATTTTGCAATTTTCTATCATATATATCAGAGTTGAATTGGTTTGCTTTGACGCACCGCGAGCCGTATATAGCATAAAGCCTTATATGAATAATATAATTAGATAAGAAATCAAGAAATCTACCAAAATCTTTCTTAAAGATGAACGAAATAGGCATGCACTCATGCATTGTTGGAAAACTGACTCAACTTTGTAAAATAAGTTAAAGATAAAAATCGAGAACCAGGGCTGTATGCATGCTTTGACTTTGTTATATAATATTCAACAAAATTAGGCAATATGCTATTTTCTGTGTTGGTGTAATGTACTCAAATAAATAAGATGCTTGTGATGTTACTCTGAGTGTAACATCACAAACATCTCACCTGAGTACATTACACCAACACAGAAAATATCATGATTACACTGATATCGAAGGAACTAGACTCAGTTCCGAAACATCACATACTCGAAACGACCTGACCGCGTAGCTCAGGAGAGACCCTGGGAACGAGGTTGGTAGCTCAGTTGGCAGAGCATTGGGCTAGTATTCCAAAGGTCGTAGGTTCGATTCCTACCGTGGCCAGGCATATTTTTCAAGCCTGTCCAGCGTGGATATACATTCAGAGTAACATCACAAGCAAAATTATATCCATGCACTAGCTTATTTATTTATTTATTTATTTATTTATTTATTTATTTATTAACTTTACAACCAAACATAAAATAGATTAAACCACTACATAATATGGTTGAAGGTATGGTATATATGATGAACAAAAGTTTTGAATGTGGGTTTCCAGAGAACGTTGTGAGAAACAATAAAACTCGAGGGATCAAATCACATGAAAAATATAACAAAAGCTTTGCATGCAGTTTCGCGCGAAGGCCCAGATAGTTTGATTTTTACAATTCCTCAAGTTTAAAATGATTAACACTACCTAATTGCATCTACATATATCGTCTGGAAACGCGTTACCCCCCCCCCCCCCCCCCCCGCGTGTGCGCGTTGTACGCTTCTGAAAATAGTGTAATGAACAAAGCAATGTAGCAAACATCTAACTGAATATAAATTTTTCTAATGTAGCATATAATTCTTCATTCCTTGTACAAGATGTGAGCAAAACATTTTGTTTGGATTACACCTACGAGAGGTTGGTAAAATAACCGATACGGGATAAAAAGCATTGCCAAATACATCAATGTGGTGTTGTTTTCTACAATGCAAAACTGAGAAACCGTACAGATATATAAAATACAAAAGAACAGTATAACTCCGTATAGACATATTTTAAGCTTGCTAAGCAGGTCCTGCAATTTCGTTGCAACGTGCATGCATAGCTCTGATACGATTCAGTTGACCTTTTTATCAATAGCAAGTAGCAACTCCCATATTGAAATCTCAATGCATTGGTTCATCATTGGAGATTGAACTTTTTAATGAACTACATGAAACTCATATAATGTAATAATATAACAATAAGAAGTCACAACCCATTAATCGGAATAATTTTCCGTTTAATTTTTCGTGAATTTGACAATCGCGCTGTTCTCCATGACATCCGTGAGTCTCTTATAACATTGACATATTTGTGAAGAGCCAACATGGCTTAATTGTGACATAATAATATATCTAACATGCGCATAGTTTGGAAATGTTTCACTTGAAGGAATAAGGGAAAGGAATATAGGAATACATAGAGCTAATTTTGTTTATGACTCTTCTTGCAGATATGTGGGAGGAAATCCAAAATGCAACACAAATGCAAGATCCCAACGCTGGCTCTGGACTAAAAATCAACAACTTTTGAACTTGGACGCATTAGAATGTGTCACAAACACTTACTATGCAACACTCGATAAATGTATTGCAAATAACGTGAAACAATTGTTGAAATGTGAGCGTGAGGATTCTTATTATGTTTCCATTTATGGACTGAGAAGAAGAAACTTGAAATGGAAGCGTTATGGTTCAAATCAAACTTTATGCTCAGAAGGTAATAGTGTTGTACATGTACATATATAGATAATGATTATTTGTGTTCAGTTTTTAAAGCTTTCCAAAAACAGGCCGCACCCAAGGTGTGATATCTGTACTTAAGGCGGATTTATTACTGAAACGGATATTCCTCAAAAAGATGACGCCCTTCTAAGATATCTGATAAGGATTTCCCTTTTATTCGAACAACAATGAATGACGGATTCTTTCCGCCTGACTTCGTGTGAACACGTCATGTCTAGGTCAGGGTATATGGCAAGATTTTGCATCATCGCTCAGCTGTCTAGTTTAATTAATTCTCCAACGATCGTAAGCCAAATTAAGCTAAACTCAGCTAAAGTCATACCTACGCTAGTAGTGTAAATATGACATACAGCTATAGTATAGAAGTTTGTGCATTTGTTAATAGAAAAAAATTCCAATATATAAAGAATCACTGTAACAACTGTAGTTTGGTTTTCAACGAGAATGACAGCTCTATCGCAGCTATATACTGACCTTTTCACACCCGTAGAAATAATAAGTCATTAGTAATTTTTACTGAAAAGAAAGACTGAAAGACCTTTCTAATAAAGGGTGCCTCTTCGACAGCTATGGTTGCAAGTACAGAACAACTGCTTCAAGTGAACACCAAAGCATATAATACATTCTCGAATTTAAATGGCATATATGTTTACACCACTGAGCTCAAAATATGTCTGGAGTAAGAACTTCAGTCATGCGGCCTCTGAGAATAGTGAAGCCATGCAAGATGGCGGAAATTGACGCCCAAAATCTATGAAGGCCATAAACACTTTTCATGTTATTTTTCCCAGCTAATTCCAGTGTTTTCCAACAGATCGTATTGCAAATCAAGTTATCAGTTCATAAAACCACAATATTATTATTTAAATTTAAGTCAAAATATGAAATTTCGGCACACTCATCCTAGTCTGTGCTAACCGCGCCGACAAAAACAGTAGACTGGCATTGAACGTCAATTTCCGCCAACTTTGACTTCCTTTTTTGGATGTGAGTTCTTACTCCAGGTATATGGAGCTCACTTGTATACCTCCTTGTGAACCCCAAAATACAAATGAAAACTACAACTGAAACTTAGGGACCAAATAGTAATCCAAGATACAACACAGTCGCTCAAGTTGTACAAACATTGCAAATGTACCATCTTACTAACCTTATTATTGTCGGGATAGCAATACAAATTCATCAAGGGTTTCTTTTTGCTTTCGCAGCGGTTGGATGCGAGACCTTTCAAGATGATTCATCGCTTCTCATCCTAAATAAAACATCAAAATGTCAAGAGTCTGAATGTTGGGGAGAAAAAGAAATCAATGTTGGCACGTGGAACGTCACAGAATGTTCTCTCTTGCCAAATCAAGTACAGTATCTACACAAAGATGGATGGCAACCTTTGTCAATGGCAACAAACAGTTTGGTTGTAGTGGCAAGCGAAAATAAAGTGTTGTTAAAGGTACGCTATGTTTTATCTCAGACGTATATCTCGGGGTCCAATAATTGGTAAGAATCTAAAATAAGCAGTCGTGGTTTTGGTTCGAACTAAAAATAAAAATAAAAAATTCCTTAAAACGGTTTCAAACAAACCTACGACAGGCTCTCCAACCTGGATTATATTATTTATCTTGTAAAAATCATCTATTTTGTACTTAAAGTGGGATTTGATCAAGACTCCGATGAGTTGGAAAGGACTAATTGTGAAAGTACAATATCAATGTAAAAGTGATGAAGAATATCAGGACAATAGAGATGTCCATTGTGTGCTTATTAAATACAGGGGACTTTTCACCGGTAGGTATCTCTAGATACGGACCTCAAGTTACAATCATGAAAGCGAGGCTATATAGGCAAAGGCTACACTCTTCTAAAATATTATTTTGTGTTATTTTTTCTTTAGTTGTTCTTTATATTAGCTTATATGTACACGTCTCTGTTCAGTCATTTCATTATCACACATCAAACATTTGTCTTGCCCTTTTGGGCTTAAAAGGACTGAATTCATAATTGAGTGCAAAATTTATGCATGAATACTTCA